ACATGGGTTCAGCCCAGCCTTTGTTACAAGCCCTGGCCGAATTCACTGTAGGAGATAGTGAACCCCTGAGTCCATCACCATGGGCTCTTACTGGGCCCAACATTTACACTAAATGGTCCTTGAGTCCAGCCACCTTATGAAAACCCAAGGACTGTGGGTAGATGCAAGATTAGCCCATCAAGTATTACCCTCAATGGTCTTACACTTAACATCTCATCCCATAATGATCAACCACTGCCCAACAAGAGAGGACCTCTTCCTCGGCTACAAGGTACAGTGTTGCACTCTCTACTCACATGGATCTCGGGAATTAAAACCATTTGCAAACATTTTGAAACCATAATATATATATATATATATATGTATATCTTTATATAAATATATTTTGCATAAACAAATTTCAATGGTTGAAATCAACTGCCGACAGTTTAGATTTCCATCAGAGAGAGTGCATCTCCGATCATTCACTTTGTCCGACAAAGGGGTTGATCCTGTCACTATGATCTCTCACTCGGATGAATTCTCGGATTGTCCTAACATGCCCAGGTTTTGACCCCCKCTAAGGATCTCACTGATTGGCATATCAAAGACAATCCAATCCGACACCCAGTGTAGTACCATAATCGAGTCTAGGGGTCAGGTGTAACATTCTAGTTTTGCCCATCTATTTCCAAGGTCCAGGGAAATACTTGATCTTCGGTCCGGTTCAGGGTTTCAAGAAAACCCACACTGCATGTATCTGTGAATTTTCTAACTATAGAAGATCTTCCAACCTGTGAACCTTGCCTTCAGGGTAAGATGACGAAACGACCATTTAACGGTAAACCTGAAAGATGTACATGCACGCTTGACCTTATACATACTGATGTATGTGGTCCCATGAGTGTTAGGACACGTAAGCAGCACATTTATTTCATAACATTTACCGATGATTACTCACGGTATGGTTACGTGTATCTAATGAGACACAAGTCTGAATCATTTGAAATGTTTAGAGAGTTCAGACAAGAGGTCGAGAAGCAGTTAGGGAGAGAAATTAAGACCCTTCGATCGGATCGAGGTGGCGAGTATCTCTCTGGCGAATTCAGGGACTACTTAAAGGACAATGGATAGTATCACAACTAGCTCATCCTGCTACACCACAGCTAAACGGTGTGTCAGAGAGGAGGAACCAGACTTTATTGGATATGGTCCGATCACTTCTCGTGCATTCAGAGTTACCCAAATCCTTTTGGGGTTACGCATTAGAGACTACGATAAGGTTACGTTCCTGGTTCTGTATGTAGATGACATTCTACTAATTGGGAATGATGTAGGAATGTTGACTACGGTGAAAGTATGGCTTTCACAGCAATTCTCCATGAAAGATCTTGGAGAAGCCTCCTACATACTATGTCTTCGGCTCTATAGAGATAGATCTAAGAGGATAATAGGATTATCCCAATCTGCTTACAATGACAAGATAGTCAAGAGATACATCATGGAGTCACTCTCTCCAAGGGTATGTCTCCCAAGTCTCCCGAAGAGATTGAAGGCATGAAAGACGTTCCCTATGCCTCAACCGTAGGGAGCATCATGTATGCTATGCTGTGCACTCGTCCTGACATCTCTCAGGCAGTGAGTGTGGTAAGCAGATTCTAGTCAAACCCAGGGCAGGAGCCTTGGACTGTTGTGAAAAACATACTAAAATACCTTCGAAGGACAAAAGAGTTTTGTCTGGTATTCGATGGTAGTTCACTACATATCCAGGGGTATACTGATGCCGATTCCAGTCAAATCCAGATGATAGAAAGTCTACATTTGGTTATGTTTTCACGATAGGATCGTGTGTTGTTTGCTGGAAAAGTAGCAAACAGGGGCTCTACGGCGGATTCCACAACCGAAGCCGAATACATTGCCACAAGTAAAGCTACCAGAGAAGCCGTATGGATGAAGAAGTTCATTCACGAATTGGGAGTAGTTCCATCCAGCACATCACTCATTCCATTGTTGTGTAACAACACTGGAGCCATTGTTCAGGCTAAGGAGCCACGAGCCCACTCGAAGTCGAAGCACATCGAGAGGAAGTACCATGTACTGTGGAAGATAGTTGGAAGAGGTGACATCCTAATTCAGAAGGTAGCATCAGAGGAAAGTGTTTGAGAAACACGTGGAAAGCATGGGACTCTAGCTTATACTAGATTGGACCTAAGTGCAAGTGGGAGCTGTTAGATAGTGTATGCCCTTTGCTCCAATCAGAATGATGTACATTATGAATTTATTGTAAATGAATAAAGTACACATTTGATTCATGTTCCTGTGGTGTGTTTCTGTGTAATACCCTTAAACTGGACACTTAATGAGACTCGTGTTAGTTTAGAATCTTCACAGCCGTTGGATAGATCTGGGGAGATTTAT